TGGGAGGTGAAGTCCAAAACATCTGGGTGACCAAAGTTTGGGAACCACTGGACTAGATGACCTCTGAGTACTCCTTCCAGCTCACAGTTCTGTGAAAGAGATGCTGCAGCAATGCTAAAGTCCCAATTTGGGGAGAAAGGTGGGATATGAATAAATTGTTGCTGTTGTTGTTATGCAAAGCATTCTTGTAGCATCCATGAAATTGAACAAAAGTCCCAAACACACTGCAGAAATAATCCAGTTTGAGACTGCTTTAACTGCCCTGGCTCAGTGCTAGGGAATCCTGGGAACTGTAGATTTGTCAGATATTTAGCCTTCTCTGTCAGAGAGCTCTGATGCCAGAACAAACTACAATTCCCAGGATTCCCTAGCCTTGAGCCAGGACAGTTAATTGTTGTTGTTGTTGTTGTTTATTAATATAGCGCCATCCATGTCCATAGCATTTTATAACCAGTTGCAGAATAAACCATTTATATACACTGCTCAATAATATAAAATATTAAAATACCGTGAACCCCGTGACACACAAACATAAGAACGCAAAATAAAAAATGCAGTACAGATAATCAAATATATTAAAGATACAAAACATTAATCAGAAATTCCCAAAATTTTAGGGAAAAAAAGTTTTCAATTTGGATTTAAAAACAGCAAGGGAAGGAACAATCTGCAGGTTTACAGGAAGATGATTCCAGGCTATGCCTCCTCCTCTTCCTTCCCATCCTAGGCCCAAGTGTGGAAATGTCTGGTGGGTCTAGGGCTGATGCAAGCCACTGTATCTTCGCAGGACCCAAGAATCCTAGTAGACCACAAGTTGAACGTGAGTCAACAGTGCGATGCTGCAGCTAAAAAGGCCAATGCGATTCTAGGCTGCATCAATAGAAGTATAGTATCTAGATCAAGGGAAGTCATAGTGCCACTCTATTCTGCTTTGGTCAGGCCTCACCTGGAATAATCCTGTGTCCAGTTCTGGGCAAAACAATTCAAAAAGGATGCAGAGAAAATGGAGCGTGTCCAGAGGATGGCAACTAAAATGGTGAAGGGTCTGGAAACCAAGCCCTATGAGGAACGACTTAGGGAACTGGGTATCTTTAGCCTGGGGAAGAGACGGCTAAGAGGGGATAGGATACCCTGTTTAAATATTTGAAGGGGTGTCATATGGAAGAAGGAGCAAGCTTGTTTTCTGCTGCTCCAGAGAATAGGAAATATGGAACAATGGATGCAAGCTCCAGGAAATGAGATTACATCTAAACATTAGGAAGAAGCTCCTGCGGGTAAGAGCTGTTCAACAGTAGAAGATGCTCCCTCGGAGAATGGTGGAGCCTCCTTCTTTGGAGGTCTTTAAACAGAGGCTGGATGGCCATCTGTCACAGGGGGTGCTTTGATTGAGAGTTCCTGCATGGCAGAAGGGGGTTGGTTTGGATGGCCATTGGGGTCTCTTCCAACTCTAGGATTTTATGATTCTATGACCAGTGAGCCAGCAAGACACCCATTCTTTAGATGAAATGGGGAATATGGGCCCTATTCCGTGCTGAAAAATCAACGGCTACTTTCATAGAAGTGTAGTGTTGGAAGGGATCCCCAAGGGTCATCCAGTCCAGCTCCCTGCCAGTGCAGGAAATGCTCAACTGAATCTCCTTTCTTGTTGTTAGTTCTTGTTTATTGCTGTTGCTATATGCTTTCATGTTAACCCCAACTTATGGTGACCCTATATCCCAGTGTCTCCAAAGAAGGTTCACCAATAACTTTCTCTGAGAGAGTGTGACCTGGATCCAAAACCATCACACCATGCTGTCCCTCAGACTTGATGCAACGCTCTCATCAAGGATTTTTTGGCAAGATTTCTTCCAACAAGATTTACCATGGCCTTCCTCTAAGGCTGAGAGAGTGGGACTTTCTCAAATGGATTTCGAGTGGGGGGGATTCAGACCCTGGTCTCCTGGAGTAACAGTCCAAAACCCAAAGGACTATGGTTTGGTTTGGGTCCAGTCCTCTGGAGCAGCAGAAAGCAAGCTTGCTCCATCTTCCAGGGGATGATAGTCTTTCAGATATCTGAGGTTCTAAGGATGGGTCTTATACCTCTCCTCAGTCTTCTCATATCTATCTTCATAGTGACATTTTAAAGGACCCTATCAGCTTTTAAAGATTATCTCTTTGAGTTCACCTCCCAGTGGCTCTATGACTGGGGGATTCTGGGTGTTGTAGTCCAATATTAGTAACCTTTCCAAGCTCTGACCATGTACCATGCTATTATTCCATGTCTGAGCCTCCCCGGTTTTGGAGCTTACTTGGTCCAAAGCAGAGTGCCCAACTCACAGCCTTCAAAGTCTTCTTGGACTGCAGCTCCCATCAATCCCTCTGTGTTGGCTTTGCTGGCCAGAGCTAGTGGGATTCACAGTCCAAAAGGACCCCATATTGCCTAGAGCCTAAGACAACATTTTTCCTTCTCTCTCTCTTCTGGGTTTCTTTTCAGAGCTCACGGGAAGATAGCAGTAAGCATCAGACATGTCTGCGGATGTCTGGGTGGGAAGCTGGCGGCCTCACCGCCCCCGAGGACCCATCGCAGCCCTCTACAGCAGCCCAGGGCCAAAATATGGGCTCCCAACGAATGTAGGTGAGTCAATCGAACAGGAGTCGACAAGTGTGATGCAGCAGCTAAAAAGGCCAATATGATCCTAGGCTGGATCAATAGGAGTTTAGTGTCTGGACTAAGGGAAGTCATAGTGCCACTCTATTCTGCTTTGGTCAGGCCTCACCTGGAATAATCCTGTGTCCAGTTCTGGGCACCACAATTCAAAAAGGATGTGGAGAAACTGGAGTGTGTCCAAAGGAGGGTGACTAAAATGGTGAAGGGTCTGGAAACCATGAAGCCCTATGAGGAATGGGACTTAGGGAGCTGGGGATGTTTAGCCAGGAGAAAAGGTTAAGAGGTGATATGACAGTCCTGGTTAAATATTTAAAGAGATGTCATATTGAGGATGGAGCAAGCTTCTTTTCTGCTGCTCCAGAGAATAAGACACAGAGCAATGGATGCAAACTCCAGAAAAAGAGATCCCACCTCAACATTAGGAGGAACGTCCTGATAGTAAGAGCTATTTGGCAGTGGGACACACTCCTTTAAACTAAGGATGGTGGAGTCTCCTTCTTTGGAGCTTTTAAAACAGAGGCTAGATGACCCTCTGTTGGGGGTGCTTTGATTGTGAGTTCTTGCATGGCAGAATGGGGTTGGACTGGATGGTCCTTGGGAGTCTTCTCCAAGTCTAGGATTCTATGAAATTGGAGGTGAGACCAGACAAAACTGGCCTGTTTCTACTAGAATGGATGTCCTATGCTACAGTTAGCAATTGTCCCAGGAATCAGGAGATTAGAAAACAAGAGTTGGTGAGCAGTTAATTCGATCCGGGTCAGTCATAGGGTTTCCATCAGGATGAAGGGAGAAGCAAGAAGATGGTTGTCAGCCGTTCCAGAGGTCCTTCAACTAATCCTGATAAACAAAGCCAGCAAGAAGTGAAACAGTTGTGAATCGTAGCCAGTCCAAGGTCATAAATATATGCCAAAAATACTTCTAATCGCCAAGAAAGGAGGGTTAGCAATAGCAATAGCCAATACATTTCTATACTGCTTATCAGTGCGCTTAAGCACTCCCTAAAAGCAGTTTACAATGCATAAGCTCATTGCCTCCAACAAGCTGGGGACTCATTTTAGCCACCTGCAGAAGGATGCCAGGCTGAGTCGACCCTGAGCCCCTGGCTGGAATTGAACTCACAACCTTGTGGTTTGCGAGTGAGTTGCTGCAGGACAGGCATTGAACCACTGCATCACCAGGGTTGAAATCAGTGAGTT